TTTTCCTTTGGGTGATTTTTATATTAGTCCACGTAGCTTTTCAATCTGCATGGACTTGGGTTTTTACACACACATATATGTATGTACATGCATGTGTGTGTGTGTGTATTTATGTATATATATATGTTTTGAGGTCAACGGATGAGATGATGGGTGGGGAAAATAATTGAATGGTATTTGGATTTTACTGGGAAAAGGTTGACTTCTCCTGCTTTGTCCCTCAGTGTTTCCTACATTCGATTGCATGCCCATAATAATAATAATAAATTATATTAACTTAATTTTAAAATTATACAAATTTATTTTATAAAATTTTATATTATTTTCTGTTTCAGTGGAATAAATTATTTATTATTTATTAAATGAAATACTATTAATTTTTTCTATATAAAGCCTTAAATATTTTAGAAGAAATTAAAAAAAAAAAAAAGAACAACATTAAATAGCTTAACGGGCCGCTTTTATGGGCTGGGCTACGATTAAAGCCCGTTTCTTTATGGGTCGGCTTTAGAACCCATACAGACCAAACGTCGTCGTTTTACATTGTCACTGTTACAAAGGTTGAATCTTATAAATATTGCTTATAAGTTATTAGGATTAAGATAAGACTTTAGTTTATACTATGAAAATCAAATTCTAAGAAGCCACGCAACTGTGAATATATCCAAACTTACTCTTCATATTATATATATATATATATTATATTCTTTTGCTCCCAGCAAATTTTGAGTACACTCCTAAAACTTCTCCACTTCTCAATGAATCATCAAACTTATCATTAAAACGAGAAAGCTACCAGAGAAAACTCTGTTATAACCAGTCCATTTCTAATGAATCACCAACCTTATCATTAAAAGCAGAAATGCTATCCAACAAAAACTTTCTGTCTATACATACATACCCACATGTACATATATACAATACCCACGTATGTTTTAAACCCAAATGGGTGGTCGAGCTGATTGACTCACTAAAAGTCTTGGAAGAGTACGTCCCCAGCAAAAGTCATCCCTTTGGTTGAGCTGATTGATTCACACTGCTGCCAAAACAAGATAGGCTTAGGATTCAACTTTCTTCTCCCAGTTTCTGGTAAGTTTTTCTTATCTGGGTATTTCTTATTACATCCACGATGCATGTTTAATATGTTCTAAACCCAAATGGGTTAGGGTTAGATGATTACTTGTTTTTAGTGGGCGTTCTGGTTTGTTTTTGAATTATCTTCGTCAAAAAACTCTAGGGTTTCTCTGTAACTCTAACGACCAATAAGATAAAAAAAAAAAAAAGATGTGAAACTGTACGGGGTAAGTGGTGGGGTCCTATGAATAGTCACCGTCCGATGACATGACGAAGGTAGATGAAGTAGACTGATATGATAGATTGCGATGCATGCTATTAATATCGCCCGCCCGTCCTGTTCTCCTCCGTCTCTTTCTTGTACCGTACTGGATAGAAGGAGAGGTGTGATTCTGTGTGGTGTGGTACACCAAACGTAAGCGTACAACGATCCATAAATAGAATACACGTCACGCTGATGATCATAATGATTATAGGATTGTTTGGGAAAGGTTCGAAGCGAAGCGGAAGGTTGGTTTGTGTGCCCAAACAGCAGCGAGTGATGGATGGATTGATGGATTTGTTATTCGTGACAAGTCTTGTCTCCCTCTTCAATCCAAACACTGTTAATGTTTTGATTTATTAATTATGGGTAATTTTAGGATTACCTTAATTAGATGTAATTAGTTTAATTACTTTACTACAATTTTTTAGCTAATTATGGATTAACTTTAAAATTAAATAAATCCACCTAAACTGAATTAAATTAATTTAACTTTAATTATTTGATTAACATATTTATAAAATATACTAATTTTCACTTATATAATAGATATGTTAATTCATAGTTATTAACGGGTGACCGTTAATTAAAAATAAGATACTGATAATTGGTACAACGAAGATGATATTTTTCGATAATATAATATAATATATTATATTTTTAAAGTATATGATTTATTATATAAGTGAATAAATCGTTTTTGATATTTTTTGATAATTTAACTAGTCGTGGTCTTATATGATTTCTCAGATAAACGTACAAAACATCTTGAATATAGAAGATATAAATTGTGATGTTCGAGTTAGAAAAAGTTAAAACTTTATAAACAAAAAGAAAAAAAAAAATTATTTTGTGAATGTACATCGTTAGTAGAAATTTAGTTGCTAATATAATTAATAGAGAGGATTACGTGACTATAAACATACAAAGTTATCGTAGTGGTTGGTACGAAAAAATATATTAGCTTGCGTGTCCAATATATGTTGTTTTTAGGGTGAGAGAAACTTAGTGGAGACTAGCGTGTTCAATTTAGATCAGATCAAACTATTCTGTTACATAGTATGACTTTCGATCCACGAGATTGAAGATTAAAACTGCTAATAAACAAAGAAATAGAATATTTAAAAACCAAAGATTATCCAAAAGACAAATCTAAATTCTTTTCTCGCGCTCTTGCTTGCATGAACTGTGGCTAAAGGTTGGTGGCTATTTCAGATTCTTCTATTTCCATCAACCGTTGTAGTTGACTCTTAGATATCAATTTTAGTATCGAACATTTCTAAAAAATAGTCCTCTATTACCATCTCATTTCATACCTCTACATCTTTTTTTCCTCCTCTTGCTCCACGTGACTCGCTCTGTGCATCTACTCTCTTCACTAGTCTCTCGTATGCCTTACAATCATTGGTAGTTACCTCTCTTTTACAGGTTGTCACCTCTCATATGCCCGATGATATGTTTTTATGTTCAATTTGGCATTATTTGATAAGAATAATAAAATTTTACACGGTTTTAAAACAATAAATTCTCAAAATCTTTAAAATTTTTGCAGAATTCAATATATTTTAACCAGGTATCCAGTTTAAAAACTTTTTCACGTTTAGTTTCAATATATTTACGTCTAATACTTTTATTCACTATAGTTATCATGTATTTTATACGTGCGTAAAATTAAATATAACATAAATAATTACAATACAATTTTATGTAATTAAATATATATAACATATAAAAAGGTTTTAAAAATATATATGGTTCTTCCAAATTTTCACTTGTTGCAAGATTTTACCCATTTCAACTTTAGTAACTTTTGTTTTATATTCAAGAGGACTTCATTAATTTCTGAACCTATGATACATACACACATACATACATACATATATATATATATATATACATATATAAAATTTTGAGGAGATTTAATATTCTCCATTTCCTTAATTTTCTTTGTACTTTTTTTTTTCTAATTTTTGTGGTTAAATTAAGGCCACATAAAAAAAAAATATATATATATATATAAATATGTTGAGTAGCTAACATGTAAGCTACGTGGAGATGTGGTGCACGTAAATTCCAATTTGTCTTTATTATTTCCCTTCGTTTTCTTCTTGCATCTTACAAGCAAATACATTCACATATTTTTACCTAATTTTAAAATTTAATTTCATATTCTCTTGTCCGTAATATTTATTTTTAGACTTAATAGACGAGAACACGACTAATAAAAAACTCGTGCAATAGTAGTTGAGCCGTCTAGGCATCTATCGGATGTATGTATTAGTATAGAACCGAACCAGTTTGAAATTGATTGATGATTGGTTAATAGTAGAATTCAAATCGAATACCGAATCATTTTAATTTTAATTTAAATTAAAATATTAATTTTTTTAAAAAAGATTATTTAATTAAAAAATAAAAATAAAAAGATTTTCAATATATATAAGAAAGAGAGAAATTGTTATTTGTAAAAAAATATGATTTTTTGTGAGTATATAAATAAAAAAAAATTATTTTTATTTAATTAAAA